ATATTTGGGGTCCAAATGCTGACAGAACACCAACATGAAGCCAAGTACTTTGAACAATGGATGACCTGTGACACCTAATTCCTTGTCAGTGTAATCGCCAAGCACTTCCACCGAATCAAAGTTGTATATCATATTATTCGGGGTTAGCGCATTCCATTTAGGAGACAAGTGCTTGTTAGAGCCTAAATATCCCTTTTTATGTGGACTATTTGGATACCACCACCAACCCCTTTCATTTACTTGACCTTGTATATGCTTACCCTAGCTTGTATATAATTATCTCGTTGATACATTTGTATATGCTCACCTTAGCTAGTATATCATTATCTATTTATGAGGATGAATCTACACTTTTAGAAGTCTGAGCGGCACGTGTCTCACTATCTCCATAGCACCAATACCTCTTCAAAGGAAGGTCTAGTGTTGAAGTAGCTCAAAATTCTTGTTTAGATTATCATTTTTTCTATCAAGTATCTTAGTTTTAAGTGCTTCTTTCACAAGTATAGGAGCCTCCAAGCAAGGAGTTACATCTCCACGAATACCTCTTTAGTGGCACTTAGGCCGATAAAAAACTAGAAACAACTTTACCACAATACTTGCACTTAATTCTTTCTTTTGATCAGTTTCCACACTATGTTCAAAAGAAGTCAAGAATTAAGTGAAACTATTGTGGTAAAGTAGTTTTTAGTTTTTATCGGCTTAAATACCACTTAGGAGGTATTCCTGGAGATGTAACTCCTTGCTTTGAGGCTCCTATACTTTTCCAAGAAGCACTTAAGGCTAAGATAGGTATTCGATAGGAAAAATGAAAATTTAATCAAGAATCTCGAGCAACTTCAGAGGAACTAGTGCCCTCGAGATGGTGAGACACATGTCACTCAGACTTCTCAAAGTGTAGATTCATCCTCACCCAAACTTGTTTCTCTCTTGGCTTCAATGGTACTTGTTTCTGCTTTCTCCTTCTTTCTGCAGATGTCAATGTTGGTTGTTTGACAAAGTTCAGTTTGCTTTTGTTACTGCAGTCATTTTTTTAGCATAATAAGTTACCAATCTTTAGGATGCATTTGATTTTTAAATATTTGTTAGGTTGTTTTAATTGTTGAGATTATTTAGCCTTTTTTGTATGCATATTTTTCTGCATTATGTTATCAAGTTGGCTATTTAAAGTTCTATTATGCTTAATAAAAATATTGAGAGATATTTCAATCAATTATTTTTGTTGCTCCATTTTTAGAAAACACCAACAATGGTATCAAGAGCTTCATTGATCTTATGGGATCTCAGAAATCTTCCAACGAACTACCATACCATTTTTAACCCGTAAGGGCTACCCATTTTAACCCGTTAGGGTTACTATTTTCAATTCCTGCTTTTTTTCAACAAATTTTTAACCTAAAAATATGACGAGCAACAATCTCTCTTTGAATGCCCCAGAAATTTTCACTGTGAAAACTAACCTTTTTGGTCTGTGAAAATAAAATCATATCTTGAAGCCTATGATATGTGGAAAGTTGTAATGGAAGATATACTCTTATAACCTCTCCCTGCAAATGCTACCATTGCCCAAATTAAATCTCATTCAAATGAAAAACCAAAAAATTCATGCCAAAATGGTGGTAATTCAAAATTCAGTCGTGGATTCAATTTTTTCTAAAATCGTTGCTTGTGAGAAGAAAAAAGAAGCTTGAAACTTTTTTTAAAAAATAATATCAAGGAAGTGAACGAGTCAGACAAAAGCAGATTTTGAATTTGAAAATGGATTATAAATCTCTTAGGATGCAAGAGTGAAACTATTGTTTAAGTACTTTGATAAGATATCTTTGATTGTTAATAAAATGAGGTTGCTTGGCGAGGATTTCAAAGATTACAAAATAGTAGAAAAAATTCCTGTGACAATTCAAGAAAGATTTTGACTCAAGAATTTATTCTCCGGAAGAATTTAAAGATCTCTCTACTATCTCCATTGAAGAACTACTTAGTGCTCTTCAAGCATAAAAGCAAAGAAGAGACTTTAGGCAAGAAAATATTACCGGTGGTTCTTTTTATGAACAAAACAGGAATTTCTTTTTAAAAAAAGGTAGTTATCCTCTTTGCAAATACTGCTTTTGGAAAACACACTTGGAAAAATTTTGTTGGTAGAGACCTTATGCAATATGTTGAAATTGCAAACAAGCCAGTCATGTTACAAAAGATTGCAAGCTTATAAATAATCCTCAAGCACAAAGAGTAGAAGCAGAAATCGAGGAGGAGCTACTTTTTTAAAATTGTAGTATCTAAAGCAAAGGAGTGTTGAGTTTGCTCTTAGTTAATGTAGTCATTTTTTAGCATAGTAAGTTACCTAGCTTAAGGATGATTTTGAATATTAAATATTTGTTAGGTTGTTTTAATTTTTGATATTATTTAGCTTTTTTGAATTTTTGTTATGAACATTTTCTGCATTATGTTATCAAGTTGGCTATTTAAAGCCCTATTATAATTAATAGCAATATTGAGAGATATTTCAATCAATTCTTTTTGCTGCCCCATTTCTAATAAATACTGACAATAATCATGGAATCTCTAGGAGTCTTAAATTATGGAATCAAACATAGGAAGCAAATGGAAAAGATGAAGACAAAATTTATGATGAAGCTGAAGTCTTAATTTCAAATAAAGAGACTAAAAATATTATTGTCAGAAGCTCTGTAGTTGACAAACTATTTATCGAAGAGCTAAACATGGAACCTAGTGGTGGATCTTATGGTTGTGTTGAGATTTCGAAGAAAATTAATGGTTATATCATAACTGAATCACATGTCGTGGCTAATATTAATGAGATCTCCCGACATTGTCTAGAAGTCCTCGGTAGAAACCGAGCTTGTTTCTCTCTTGGCTTCAATGGTACTCGCTTCTACTTTCTCCTTCTTCTTTCCAAATATGTCACTATGGGTTGTTTCACGACAATCATGGAATCTCTAGGAGTCTCTTCACACTTTGTCAAATTGTTGTTTCCAACCACATAGGACATCTGTAAGTCTTTGCTTTCACCACATGTCCTTTCTATGTTTGAAGTATTTGCCATTTTTCCCTGAGCCTATATTTCAACATCTGACATCACTCTAAGAAGTTTTAAAGGTAGAGCTGCAGAATCCAACTCCCAACAACTAGAGGGAGCATTTGGTGCTTCTTGATCAGTGAGCATATATGAAGGGATCTAAAGAGAGAAGCGGAACATCTCTTCCCTCTGATTATGAAAATATTGAGCATTCAAATGCTGACGGAATACCAACATGAAGACAACTACTTTGACTAATGGATGAATTGTGACACCTAATTTTTTCTCAGTGTAGTCACCAAGCATTTCCACTGAATCAAAGTTGTATATCATCTTATTCGGAGTTAGCACATTCAATTTAGGAGACATATTCCTATACAGAGCCCAAACATCCCCTTATATGGGGACAACTTGGATAACACCACCAACTCCTTTCACCCACTTGACCTTGTATACGCTTAGCTTAACTTGTATATAATTATCCTATTGATACATTTGTATATGCTTATCGTAGATTGTATATCATTATCTATTTGTGAGGATAATCTACACTTTTAGAAGTCTGAGCGACATATGTCTCACCATCTCGAGGGCACCAATTCCTCTTCTAAGGAAGATTTGGGTGCTGAAGTTACTCGAAATTCTTGATTAAGTTTTCATTTTTTCTATCAAGTATCTCAACTTTAAGTGCTTCTTTCACAAGTGTAGGAGTCTCCAAGCAAGGAGTCACATCTCCACGAATACCTCCTAAGTGGTACTTAAGTCGATAAAAACTAGAAACAACTTTACCACAATAGTTGCACTTAATTCTCGACTTCTTCTGATCAGTTGCCATACCATGTTGATGAATGTCAATTTTTTTCTGGGGTCATTTCCCACCTTTATATTGAGTGTTCTTCAACTGCCAAACTACAATCCATGAGTTGTTAAAACATCTTTAAACTAGAGAGTACCCATAACTAGAGGTTTCAGAATGAACGTTATGGGTACTCTATAGTTTAAAGAGGTCTTAACAACTCATGGATTGTAGTTTTGTAGTTGAAGAAAATTCAATATAAACGTGGGAAATGACTCAATATAAAATTGATATTCAATAACATGGTGTGGCAGTTGATTAGAAGAAGCTAAAAATTAAGTGCAACTATTGTGGTAAAATTGTTTCTGGTTTTTATCGGTTTAAGCAACACTTAGGAAGTATTCATGGAGATGTAACTCCTTCCTTGGAGGCTTATATACTTGTGAAAGAAGCACTTAGAGTTGAGATACTTGATAAGAAAAATGAAAATTTAATCAAGAATTTCTAGCAACTTCAGCACCAAAACCTTCCTTTGAAGAGGAACTGGTGCCCTCGAGATGGTGAGACACATGCCACTCAGACTTCTCAAAGTGTAGATTCATCCTCACAAGAGATTTCAAAATCATTTAGTTATTGCATTCATTTTTTTGGCATAATAAGTTATCTATCCTTAGGATGAATTATATATGTATTAGTGTTAGCATCTGCAGGATATTAAAGAATATCGATCCTAGCTATTAATTGTAGTTTAGTGTAAGCATCCGCACGATATTAAAGATTAATGATCCTAGTTATTAAATTTTAGTCTAACTTATTGAGCATATTATTTTAATAAAATTTCAACTATTCTTTTATACTAATAATTAAAAAAGTTTTTCTTTTCACCTTTCCATACATCTTTTTTGAGAAAACAAAAATCATGAAAACAGAGGACTTGTATAGTAATTTGTGCGTGTCACAGTCCTACAATGAAAAGGATTGCGCTCGTAATACAGGTTTATAAAAAAGTTTCCAAAAACGTAATGTGTAATATAAATTAGGCTCGTTAATGTAATATAATCTTGATATTTAAATATTAAATAGTCTCTCATCTAAAAAAGTGTAAGTAGAATATAATAAGGAAAGGAAAGACGTGTTATGCCTTCAACAAGTAGTCCTAATCCTTTTCCCATAAGAATAATGACTATCTCTTCTATATAACATAACGTTTAGTTCTCACACAGACAAGAGAGGGTGGCAGAGGCCGGCGTCGAGGTTCGAGTGTATTCAATGGAGGATATAAGCTCTCATTATTGTATTAACAGTGGTATTCTTCCTTCTCTTGGCGGCCATAGTGATAGCAAAATTAGGCTCCGTAACTACATCATCTCCCCTATTAATCCCCGTTACAAGGTTTGGGACGCATTTTTGGTGCTTCTTGTTTTCTACACAGCATGGGCATCACCTTTTCAGATTGGATTTCTAGAAAGACCTCAAGGACTTATTGCCATCTTAGATAACATAGTCAATTTCTTTTTTGCCATTGACATTATCCTCTCATTGTTCTTTGTTGCATATCTTGATAAATCAACTTACACTATGATTGATGACCCAAAGCGCATTGCTTTGAGGTATATAAAATATGGATTTATCTTTGATTTCATATCCACTATCCCTTACGAAGCATTGCCTCGTATTCTTCAATCATATGGATTCTTGAGTATGCTTCGTCTCTGGCGTCTCAGAAGAGTCAGTGCCATGTTTGTCGAATTGGAGAAAAACAATAAGTTGAGTTACTTTGGGATTCGAGTACTCAAGCTTGTATGTGTCACTCTTTTTGCTGTTCATTCTGCTGGCTGCTTCTACTACTTTCTTGCTGCTCGGATTACAGACGTTAGTAAAACATGGCTTTCACTGGGAAATCTTCATGATAGGAGTATCTGGGATCTTTATGTAATGTCTATGTATTGGTCCATTACAACTCTTACAACAACTGGCTATGGGGATTTGCATGCTGTCACTACAGAGGAAATGATATTCACCATGGTTTACATGTTATTCGACCTCGGGCTGACTGCATATCTTATTGGAAACATGACCAACTTGGTTGTCCATGGAACCAATAAGACGCAGAAATTTAGGGATGCTATTCAAGCTGCCTCAAGCTTTGCACAAAGGAATAATCTGCCTGTTCGACTTGAAGAACAGATGCTAGATCACTTGTCTATGATGCACAGAACAGATACGGAAGGTCTGCAGCAGCAAGAAACTCTTGAAACACTACCCAGAGCTATTCGATCTGCCATTTCACATCATCTATTCTATTCACTGGTGGATAAGGCCTACTTATTCCAGGGGGTATCACATGACTTACTTTTTCAACTGATTTCTGAGATGAAGGCAGAGTATTTCCCTCCAAAAGAGGATGTCATTTTGCAAAATGAAGCATCTACAGATCTCTACATCCTTGTAACTGGAGCAGTGGATCTTATATCACACAGGAATGGTATGGATCATGTAGTTGGCGAGTTGACGGCAGGGGATGTTTGTGGAGAAGTTGGTATCCTTTGCTGTAAGCCTCAACTTTTTACTGTTCGAACCAAAAGAATATCCCAACTGCTACGCTTGGATCGCACTTCATTTTTCAACATCGTTAAAGCAAATATAGGAGACAGGACAATAATCATGAACAATCTCCTTCAGCATTTGAAAGAGCAAACAGACCCAATGATGACTACAGTATTAGAAGATATACAACATATCTTCACTCCTGAAGAAACAACATTGGTAGCTAGCGAAAATGGTTCGTCCAACGGCAGATTGAGAAGAAGGGCTAATTTCTTTCAGAATTCACTGATAGGTCCAGAATATTCTTCAACTAAAATTGGAAATTCAAAAATTCCAGGCAGAATAACCATCGGTTGTCTAGAGAAAGCTGATATGCGTAGAAGAGTTGTGCCTCTGCCGGATTCCATACAAGAGCTACTTGATATCGGTGCTGAGAAATTTGGCATCTCTCTCACTGAAGTACTAACTGAAGATGGAGCACTTATTGAGGACATTGCACTGATAAGAGATGGAGATCATCTAGTTCTTGCTACTTCAGAAAATTAAACACAGCTCAATCATACATATTTCAGATTGACCTGTAAATTTTGTATAGTAGATGATAGATCACTAACTAGGCAATGTAATTACCAAACATAGGAATTTGAGTCATTGAGAAGTAATTGGAAGAAAATGTATAGATTTTTACAGATAACAAAGTTTTCTCCTCCATTATATACAATCAGTTTTTTTTTTTAGGCACAGCCAAATATATTTCCATTAAAAAGACCTACAAATAGAATATCAAAGCAGAATTGGTTATTCAAGAGAATTTCCACGAGAAAAAGATCATGGTGTGGCTGAGGGTACAATTTAACATAGTCAGCTTTGCATTATGCTTCAATATATCAACGTTATCCTGTTCTCGTCATATCTCAGACCAGAGAACATACTAATCTAGAAGCTGTTAATGTTGATTTTAGTTGGTCACAACCAGATAGGCTGTTAACATTGATACTGCACTTGGTGTTTTGAAGACTTATTCCATTATGTTAGACAGTATTATTACTCTTCTTTATTTACTCGTACTCTGCTTTAGGGAGCAGGTTTTGTGCATTTTAAAAATTAAAAAAAAACTGAGTTAGCAATTGTTTTTGAGTTCCTGCAAGCTCTTTGTTGCTGCAGTTTTTTGTTATTATTCTATTGTTATGCCAAAACCTTTTATAAGCTAAAGGTTCAGACTAGAATCAAATGCCTACTAATCTAAGTTTATTTCTGTAATTCTCATGGCTACAACCTGATCATTAATAAATTCTAATGCTATGAGGAGTTGAAGACCAAATTGATACGACCAGAAGAACGGGAACAAAGAGTAATTTACTAGCAACAATGGAGCATACAATTTCATTGCTTTCCTTATAACATAGTTTTGCTCTTGCATCAACACTCACAGTTGGGTTATGATTTCGAACGCAAAACCATATATTAGTTATTGGTGCAAGTGTTTTCATCAAAGGTAGAAAAAGTTGGCCTTTCTTGCCATCATATAAGATTTGGTTATGGGCCGAGAGGTTTCACTCCCATTCTTTCGATGCTTTTATCCAACTCACTCGAGTTGCTAATTAACTAAACATGCTTTTGTTTACTTTCAAGAGTTACGACTAAAAGGATCAATATTTTCATACACTAAAGACTATCTCAATTACATGGTATATATGGAGTAAAAGGATCACTTTTCTGTACATTAAGGACTATTTCGATTACTTGGTTAATGAAAGGGTAATTTATCATAGGCTCATAGCTAACCTATGAACAGTCAAATTAGACATGGTTTTTAATCTCACGCAACAGATAAACATGCTTATGTAATGGTTATAGGCAATCTAAAGCAATTACAAGAGTTGTAGAACAACAATTAGTATACTCAGTTATAAGCATCTCACATGGAGAAGTTGAAGAAATAAAATTGTTAATCGATTGAGTTAAATTCAAGTCGTTCTCTTGAGTAATGAAACAAAAACACCTATGTCAGTGGAAATTGTAGGAGAATGAGAAGACAGACCTCCATTGAACTCCGGCGAATTGCCCTCTTTATCTTCCAGAAGCTTCATCGGAACCGCTCTTCACTTTCCCTTTTGTGTTAGGGTTTTCACCACCGTATGAAAGGCGAGAAATAAAAAGTAAGGAGATCGATCCTTGCGATGCTGCTCTCACTCCGGCGACTCTCCGAGCTATCGGAGAAGATGATTGAGAGCAGAGGAGAGAAGGGGTTTGTCTCTTTTTTCAAATCGGGTTTGGGCTTTGAGGCCTAATTTGATTCTCTCTTTTTTCATTTTGGGCCTTTTGGCTTTTACTTTGTTTTCTCTTGCTTTGTATTCCGATTTCCTTTTTTGGGAAAATTATATAAACATGACCCTTAACTTGGGTCAGCGGACAACTATGACCTCCAACTTTGAGTGTGCACAAGTAAACATTTAAACTTGCATAATACACGTAGGACACAAAATTGTCATGTAGACGAATGTGTCTATTTGTTCAATTTTATACAAGTTTAAGTGTTGCAGGGTTTAGTTGTCCACTAAAGTCAAGTTAGGGTCATATTTATGTATTATTTCTTTATTAATATTTCTATAGTTTGAAATAATTACGTATTGTCTTACTAAATTATATGAGATTTCAAATCAAATACACCTAGATACATATATTTTTACTACCAAATATAATAAAAGAGAGAGAGAAGTGAGTGAGAGAGGATAACGAGATAGGACAAATGCGAGCAAGAGAATCAGATACATGTGAATCCACAATTACACTTAACTTTGACCTCATATATCTGAGATACGTGTATCTAGATGCATCAGATACATGTATCTGAAGTCTAAATAATATTGAATTTCGTAATAATGAAAAGTGAAGGAAAGGGAGGTAATTTAGGTACTAAACTAGTGGGATTTTTGTAAGTTACCCTTTGTTTTTTGGAAAACTACCTATTAGACATACATTCATATCATGTATATTACTTCTACCTATACTTTTAAATAATTATTTATCTTACAACTATTAAGAGTTTCTACCATATATTGAGGAAGATACACTTTAAAGATGTATTTTTGCTACCAAATATATTAAAATAGGGAGAGATGCGAGCTATATGAGAATTAGGGAGGCGAGTGAGACAGTCATGTAACTCATATACATGCGAACCACACTAGATACATAAATATGCATGTATCTAGGGTGATTCACATATATCTGAGATACGGAATACATAGGAGAGTAGAGAGTGAGAATGAGGAGGGCGAACGAGATTTGTCTATGTATCTTAGATATATGCAAATGCACTTAGATACAATGTATCTAGAACAAATTACACTTGATTTTGACCACATATATCCGGAGATACATGTATCTGAACATAGCTGGACACACCAAAATCTGGTAAGATTCGTAATATTGCAAACTAGAGTGTGTATCTAAGTAATTAGGTTCTAAACTAGTGGAATTTACGTAAGTTTCCTTTTTTTTTAAAAAAGTTATAAGTGAGTGGGTGATCTATGGGTCTATTTGGATTTCCATATTTTACCCACTTTCTTCATATTTATATGATCTTTTAAAATAGGTTAAAACTTATATTACCCATTTAAAAAATATGAGTGGTCTATTTAGTTACTATGAGTTAAATGAACTCCTTCCACTTATATGGATTGAAATTGTCACCCCTATCTATGTTTTTAAATCACTCTTGTTTGTTAGTTAAACATCAAAAAATAGTTAGTATTATTACCTATTGTATTGGCTGAGTATGTTAATTACTGCTAATTAACTTCCGAATGGGTGGTTAACTAACTAACAAATTGATAATTACTGTTAGAATAAAATGACTCTTTTACCCTTACAGAATATGCCTTAGTCTTCAAATTGCTTTCAACGAACTCCCACAACGATTTTATCAACAAATTGAATTTGATAATTTAGAGATAAAAATCAATTACATTCAGAACAAATAAGGGGAGTGTATGAGTTAGGATACATACGATCCAAAATAATAACAAAAGCCATAAAAATATGAGGTTCAAATCCTGGTTGTACCATCAAGCTAAAAACATCGTCGCTAATCAAAATAGTGGTGTGAGTAGTCGCGTTAGCTATTTTTCGCGATATATTTGCTACAATATGACCATCTGAATTTGTGATGTTGCAATTTCGCCTACGAAAAGAACCCTCCACTCTGTAATTTGGCTTCCACTGCCTCTTTTTCATGTCCATGACATTATTATTATTATTCTCTCCCGCAGCAAATACTTGAGCTTGGCATGACGAAGTCGTCATGCTTGCTCCCATCATCGCGAACAAAGATGATGGAGGTCTTCTCATTACGAATAAAGGAGTGGATCCGTCATCATCTTCTCCTCCGCTATATCCATTCCATTCATATTGTAATTGTGCGTTCATCTGTTATATATATATAATTCTTAAATTGATTAATGCTTGAATATCAATACTCATTTGAATTTACCAGTAATTTTCATTTAGATACTTGAACTATAGTTTGTTCTAGTTTAGCACCTGAATATATAGTCATGTATATATTCCAGTTAGTCACACAAAATATGACACTTTCTTTAATATACACATCAACATCAATTGAAATATGTTTGATTTACAGTTTACTGCGGCTAACACGTATAATCAAAGGAAGTGATATATTATACATAGTAATGAACACTTGAGAACACTGTAGAAATTTTAGCAAAAATTTGAATCAGAAGTATCTAGTATCTAATATGAATCATGTATTTAAGAAGTGCTTAAGAAGAACATGTCATAATCTTGAGTGTCTAAATGAAATTGACTAACAAGTTAAAAGGGCTATCGATGTATTCAGTCTTGATTTATAACAAGAAATGAAGATGAAGCACGTACCTGTGGTCTCAATGTTAAGAGAGGTTTACCCTGTGCGTCCATGAGTACTAGTCCGCCGGATCGGCTGCCCCGGCTAGCGATGGCCCGATTCTTCCTTCGGGTATAGTTGTCAACCCGAAAAACTAACCTCCCTTGCTTATTGAACACCGTGAATCCATCCGTACCTTGAAAACTCATACTCGATTTCTTCCAAACCGTGAAGATAGACGGGGAATTAACCTGTGGTCTACTTGTTATTACACGAGCTAGACGAGGAAGAGGAGGAGGAGGAAGACGATTATTATTATTATATTCGCGATCATCGTCTTTGTTATAAACAAGACGTTTGCATCCCAAATTTTTAGGATGATATGATGGATGAATTTTTGACATGTATGCAAGTAAGATGGTTGTAGTATACTTGCCCTTGTTGATCTCTTAATAAACATAATTAGATTAGAACAAGATTATTATAATTATTACTCCTATTTTATAATATGATTAATATATATAATCTCCCTATTTAATTTTTGATCTAAACATAGTGGAAGATGACGAGTCTTTGTCGCGTTCGAATGTGTTATAAACTTAGTACGCAAAATATTAATTAACTATTCTAATTAAGAATTTGGAAGATTATTGGCCATGCTACAAGAATTAATGTATTTATGTGGAAAGAG